GCATAAAAACAAATGGGAATACGAACCTGTAGTACTGAAACCTGGACATGATGAAGTCGCAGATTTGTGACAGCGTTAGCTTTTTATCTTCCGCATTAAGAATGGCCATAGCAATAAGAGCAATGTAGGAATAAGCCGGTTTCGTGGCTCCAGATTTGGAGCGATGTGATGACATTACAGAAGGACTGTAAATCACTTTTTCGAAATTATAAAAATCCTTGCAAGCATTCGGTTTGGCTTACCTGACTGGCTCCAGCTCTCTGTGATGATTTTCTTCCACGTCTTCTGAGGTCGAAGAGGGTTCATCGTCCTTGGAGCAGCCTTCACTTCTCTCGGAATGAGGGTGTTCGGATTTTTCTGGGCTACATTTCCTCGCTGGACAGCTAAGATCTTCTGGGCTAGAACTAGTGGAGGGTACGGGGCTCTCTATTGAGCACCTCGAGGAATTTTCTCCTGATTCTGATTGTGCAGCGGATAATTCTACCGTATGAGTCAAGTCACGATTTGGGGATGGAACAAAGGCAACGTCTGAACAAGGCTTCTTCACTGTTTCGGCTACATCGGCTTCGTCGGCTTCGGCAGATCTTTTCCTGGTCTTCGCCTCTGCTGCAGCCAAAATTGAATCCATAGAGAATCGCATTTTCGCGGTCGTGGACATGGAATACCTAAAAAAAACTTTCATATCTCGATGAGATAGGTTTAAAGCAACCTCAAGTTATAATCACAGTGGAGGAAATGAACGATGGTGTGCAGTTCGAGAACATTATGAGAAGGAGAAACCAGGCATGTTTTTGCTGGGCAATAAATTCTCGGCATTGCTGAGCGAAATGAACTGGACACGGTAGTAGAAGATTTCAAAGGAGGCCGATATGCTGGGTAATTTACGCAGCTCACTCCACTTTAACAGCAGGTCGAATACAGTATTTCAAAAGGAAAGAAATGATGCAGGGTGTCACAACCTGACTAATACTCGGCCAGAGTTGTTCGCGCTTACAAATCCTCTCAAAACACCGACAGCTGGGTTGAAATCGAATCTTTGTCTAGGCTGTGCGCTGTTTATTTTGAATCTCCGATTGCATTTCGTTCTTCTTGAGAAGTTGGAAGGGGCTCGAGAACTGCAGAAGCAGTTATAGCTATATGTTACCTTCAAGGTGACAGTTGCAACGATGCTCGTTTTGTTTGTAAGGGTACGAAAACACTGCAAATGTTGTTTTAAAGGGAGGTGGAAGAGTACATACGAGACCAAGTGCTGTTGCTGATAGCAGTCGAGAAGCAGCTATCGTTTATTTAGCATCGCAAACCAACGCTGCCAGCTACTGTGTGTGTTGGAGCTGATAAAATATGACAGCACACGTTGTAAAACGTCGTAAATGCGTTGAACAACTCGGAAAGCTGCGGACCATCTCGGACTAAACCGAGAAGATGGGACGAATGAAACGCTGCAAAATTGCTGAACGAAATTTTTGTTGCTTTCTGAAAATGCATTCGAATAGAAATCGCGTTCAATGTCTTAACGCTTCCTTTCTAAGATAAGCCTCTGGATATCAAAATCTTTAGAGACTTTTTAGTAGGGTCTATCCATGCGTAACTAATACTGCTATCTTTCCCGAATAAAAACTTTCAACACAAGATTTACTAGATTTCTTCGCAAATAATTAACGCAAAACTGGTGTCCTCTTTATTGCTAAAAACTTTGTACCTATAGCATTACAAATTGCAATAAACTTCTCAAGAAGTTTACTGCCTTTGAATGTACATACTTTCCAAGCAATGATTTCAAATAAAAGTTTTCGAAACTTAGTGACGAGCGAAATGAGACAACCGAAAGAAATGCAGTTATTTGACAGCCAAGATATAAATAGGGCAGAGACAAAATTTGACGAATGATCAGAGCTGGAGAGAACTCAGGTTCTCCGCAGGCATGTTATTTAATCTTCTACAAAAAAATG